CAATTAAATATAAACACAAAAATGTCACAATGCCTCAGAGACAACAGAGCATCACAGTCCACACAAAGAAGCAAGATAAAGCAGGAGAAACAAGAGACCAGGATACAGACCCAAAACACATCCCTAAGAAAGACATAGCACTGGAATCCCTTGAAAAGGAATTCAAAAGAATTATATTTAGGTATCGTCAATGAATTGAGAGACAGATCAAGGAAAACAGAGAAAACCCTAGAACAATTTCAAAAAACAATAAAAGAACAAAATGCCAAAATAAATGAAAACTTGGAAATGATACAAAATATACACACAGAAACCCAGAAAATTAATACTAAGTTTTCAGAACTGGATAAGACATTGAATGGGCAAAGGAGCAGAATTGAATCAGTGGAAGACAGAATTAGGGAGATTGAAGGCAATATCTAAACACTTCTTTGGAAAGGGGTCAATCAGAAAAAAGATAAAAACAAAATGAAGAAAGCCTAAGGTTCATATGGGATACCACCAAAAGGAAAAACCTACGTGTAATCGGAATTCCAGAACAGGAAAAGACAAATGAAACCACAGAGAAAATTGTCAATGATTTGTTGGAAGAGAATTTTCCTCGTATGATGAAAGATGAGAATATATCCATTCAGGAAGTCCAACAAACCCCAAATAGAATAGACCCCAAAAGAAAATCAACCAGACAGGTCATCAACAAACTTACCGAAACCAAAGACAAAGAAATAATCATGAGAGCAGCATGGGAAAAACAAAAAGTTACCTACAAGGGGCAACCAATAAGACTAAGCTCGGATTTCTCAGCAGAAACCACGCAGGCAAGAAGACAATGGGATGGTATATATAAAACCCTGAAAGAGAAAAACTTCCAACCAAGAATTACGTCCCCAGCAAAACTGTCCCTCAAATATGATGGTGAAATGAGGACATTTCCAGATAAGCAGAAATTAAGGGAATTTGTTAAAACCAGACCAAGCTTACAAGAAATGCTAAAGGGAGCCCTTTGAACAGAGAAGCAACAACAGCCAACAACAACTAACCATTAACATACATGGTAATATAACCTAGAAACCAACCCAGTTATGGAAATATCCAAAGTAAGTAAGACTACAAGATTGTAAACAGGAAACCAAAGACATCAATTGACAAATGAGGACAACTACAAACCAAAAGGAGGGGAAAAACTGTGTCATTACAGAACTTCTACATGGTAGGGGAAGTCGAGACAACTACAAGACAGAATGGACTGTTCTAAACTTGGGAAGAAAAGTATAAATCACAGGGTAACCTCAAAGAAAAATGATAAACCTTCACATCAAAAAAGAAGACCAGCATAAATATTCAGCAAATACCAAAACAATGGCAATGAAGGAAGTGATAACATGATTCATAAACAAAACAAGCTCAGCATAGAAAATTATATGCAACAAATAAATTGAAACCACAAAAAAGCACACAACAAAAATGACAGCAACAAATTCATATTTGCTGATAATTACATATCTGGCAAGGGGCTTATCTCTAAGATTTATAGCAGAAGAGTAGATGACCAAACTATGATACACATACATAATGGAAGGCTATGCAGCACTAAAGAATAATGTAGAGTCTGCAAAACACCACATAATATGGGTGAACTTGGAGGACATTATGCTGAGTGAAATAAGTCAATCACAGAAGGA